GGCCCCCTCCCCTCTCTGTTTCGGTCGGGTCCCCCGCGCCCACCACTAGGTTGTCCGCGCCCGCCCCCTGGTCGCTAGTTCCCACACCCGGCCGACAGACCCCCTCCCCTCCCAGTCTCCGCCCCGCCCTCGGCTGGGGGACCCGCCCCGCTTGCCAGGCGGAACCTAGGGCCCGGAGCAGCCCGGCGTCCTGGCCCTGGGCCCGCGGGTTAACGCTTAAGCCGGCTCGGGGAGCGTTCCCCAGCCCCTAACCTTCAGCCCCGCCCGCCCAAATGAGGGTGGAGCTTGGGGGAGGGGAAGGGAGTCCCAGAGGCCCACCTTGCCCCACCTGAGCCCTCCCTCCCGCGCCCCCAGCTCCCAGACACCTGGCGTTCTAGGCTGGGCTCGGGGTGGGGGTCGTGGCCGTCGACGGTGGCGTGGGCCGCGGGGCGGGGTGGGTCTGGGGACCCTGGAGGTGCTCACCGTTCCTGGGGTAAGGCTCACGGGCTGCTTGCTGGTGTCGGGTGACCCGGGAGCTGGGAGAGGGAAAGGGATTAACGCTGGGGCGGGGGCAGCGTGGGAGACGCCTCGCGGAGGGACTGCCCTACGGCATCCTACCTTCCTGGTATGGGGAAGGTCTTGAGCAGAGGCTCGGGGGCGAGCAGCGGCAGTGGAGGGAAGTCCTGGGAGCAGGGGTTGGGAGGGCGGTGTGCTGGGGAGCCTGGGCTTTAGGGCCTGGACAGCTGGAGCTGCGACGGTGCCCACCCGCCGTGCACCCGTGCCTGCTGCCGCCCCGCCAGGGGCACTCAACAGTCAGCCCTCATAGTCCTCAGTCCCCGCGAAACCCACGTGCCAGGCCCTGCCCTGTGGGTGGGAGCAAGAAGGGGGGCACACACCCTGGAGAATGGAAGGGAGCCTCAAGCACCTACCATGCAGGTGGCAACCCACCTGCGGGGGGCGGGCTAGGAGAGTACGGAGTGTGCCAGGCAGCAGGCGGCCCACCTGGGCTGGCCCCGCCGGCAGCGCCGTGTGAGAACTCAGAGGCCAGGGCACCCGGGGTTGGGGGAGGAACAGGTCAGGGGAGGGACCTGCAGCTGGGTGATCAAGAAGTTTGGACTTCATCCCAAGGACAACGTGGCGCCGCAGGAGGGTTTGATACCAGCTGAGACCTGCCCTGATGAGGGTATTGGAGAGCTCTGGGTGCCCAAGAAGGTGGGGGTGGGGGGGGTGGGAATGGTCAGATATCCAGCCAGAGACTCTGGGCTGGAAAAGTGGGGACTGAGGAGAAGGAAGAGGTTGGACTGGGTATTCCCGGTTGCCCCCCAGACCTGCCCTCCTCCCTCTACACCCTGCTCTGAGCTCTGCACTACATCAGTGGCCCCATCCCCCACCTCCACTGGCTTCCGGGTGAGTTTGGCCTCCAGCCCAGAGGTTGGGGAATTTCCCCAACTCCCAACTGGATCCAGACCTACCATGTCCCTGAGGCCCCAGCCCCTTCCCAGGGGCCCTTTCCTACCCTCTCAGGACTCTGGGACCAGCCCCCACCCAGAGCTTCACCTATCCCTTGTACACAGCTTGGTAAATGGCCCTTCATAAAAGTCCTTTTCTCTCTTTGTGTCTGTCTTCTTTCAGGATCCTGACTTCCTCCAAGGAGTGGGAGGGGGGAGGCAAGTATGGTTCCCAGCAGTCACCTGGGCAGCCTGCTGTCCCTGGGAAACAGGTGACCAGATGTGCAGGGATCACCAGTTGAGAGTTTGACACAGGGGTGGAGAGCCCGGAGGACAAGCAGGTGAGCTGTCCCGTAATATTTAGGAGTTCTGGACAGAGCCAGGGAGCAGCTTTAGACGCCATCAGATATGGGGGAATACCTGGACCCACAGGGAGGGGCTGCAAAGAATGAGGTACACCCAGCCAGGAACCCACAGAGGAGTTGGGGGGAAGGAAAACAGGACAAACTGATCTATACATTGAATACAAGCCAGTAAAAGTGGCTACAAGATGTTTTTTATAACTACACAAACCAGTTCTAAAGTCCATGTAGAGAATAAAGGCACAAGAATAAACAGGCTGAGGGGCTCAGTCGGTTGGGAGTCTGACTCTTGGTTTCGGCTCAGGTCCTGATCTCAGGGTGGTGGGATGGAGCCCAGTGTTGGGCTCTGCGCTCGACGGGGAGTCTGCTTGAGATTCTCTCTCTCCCTCACCCTCTGCCTCTCCCCCTGCTCTCTCTTTCTCTCCCTCTCAAATGAATAAATCTTTAAAAGAAGAAGAAGAAGAAGAAATAGGCTGAAAGTGCTAGAATGGACATGTCCCCAGGGACAGTGCACAGACAGCCACAAGCACATGGAAGGGTGTTCCACATCATCTGAGACACCAGCTCACACCCATTAGGATAGCTACTATCAAGAAATATGGGTAGATACGTAACAGATAAAATAAGTACTGGCAAGGATGTGGAGAAATTGGAACTCTGTGCACTGTTGGTGGGAATATAAAATGGTGCAGTTGCTCTGGGAAACAGTATGGCAGTTCTTCAAAAACTTAAAAATAGAATTATTATATGATCCAGTCATTCCACATCTAAGGTTTCACCCAAAGGACTGAAGGCAGGGACACAGATGCTCACAGTAGCATTACTCACAGTAGCCAAAAGGTGGCAGCACCCAATGTCCATTGATGGATGAATGGATGAGCCAAAGGGAATCCAACCCCACCGTGAAATATTATTCACCCTTAAAAAGGAAGGAAATCCTGGCTCCTGCTACAACATGGATGAACCGTGAGGACATTAGCCAGTCACAAAAGGACAAATACTGCATGGTTCCACTTATATGAGGTCCCTAAAGGAGTCAGACTCACAGAGACAGAAAGTAGGATTGGGGGTGCTGGGGGTGGGGAGATGGGGTGGTGAGTGTTCAGTGGGACAGAGTTTGTTTGGGGAGATGAAAATGGCTCAGGAAATGGGTGATGGTGATGGTTGCACAGTGACGTAAATGTGTTTAATGCCCCTGAACTGTACCCTTAAACATGGTTAAGATAGTAAATTTTATGTTATGTATATTTACCACAATAAAAAAGGAAAAAAAGAAGCAGAAGATCCTGTAAAATTCTGAAGCAGAAGGCTCTAGTTCTGCTGGAGGGCAGAATCTGTCGTAGAACAAACTGGAACATTTTGTTATGGGCAGTTCACTGGACACACAGATCAGAGGTTTGTGTCATCATTTAGCATATGATTATTTGGCATTTAAAATCCACAAGGAAGGGGCGCCTGGGTGGCTCAGTCATTAAGCGTCTGCCTTTGGCTCAGGTCATGATCCCGGGGTCCTGGGATCGAGCCCCGCATCAGGCTCCCTGCTCGGCGGGAAGCCTGTTTCTCCCTCTCCCACTTGCCCTGCTTGTGTTCCCTCTCTCGCTGTGTCTCTCTCTGTCAAATAAATAAATAAAATCTTAAAAGATAAAAATAAATAAAATCCACGAGGAAAAGGGCATTATTTAATTAAGCGTATTGGGATGACTGGCAGCCATTGGACTCCCATCTCCAAAATAAAATCCTTATGGTCCAGAAACAGAAGTGCAAAAAAAACCCACAACCACAAAGGCATTCCAAGAAAACACAGGAGACTTTAATAGTCTCAGGATGAGGAAGGCTTTTCTCAGCATGATACAAATGTAGAAGCCATTAAAAATAAAGTTTATAAATCTAATTAAATTACAGATTGCAACATTTTGCATAGATACAACCTTTTAAGTCCAAGGATGTGTGACAAACTGGGGAAACTTTGTAAAACATATGCTCGACAATGAGCCGACTCCCCTAACAGAGCACTCTGGTAAATTAGTGAGGTAAAAGCTGCCGATCTCGGGGCGCCTGGGTGGCTCAGTTGGTTAAGCGACTGCCTTCAGCTCAGGTCATGATCCTGGAGTCCC